TCCTGGCGGCCAGGTTGAAGGTCGCATTTGAGGATCTTGGTGTCGACGTAGTTGACATCAATCAAGGATTTCAGACGTGGCTTACATTTACGACATCCTCTTTGATCTCAAACGCTTTGTTGCCGTATGGGGAGCACTTGATGAAGTCTCTTTCGCACATGGGGGGAGTCAGGGTATCGAAGAGGCAAGCTCTGGAGATATTCCGGAATGGACGCGGCAAACAATTCAGCATCTATCGCGAAAGAATATATGACGAGGTCGCGAAGAAGTGGCTCCTGGTCTACAGGGTCACGAAAGACTGCGGAAATGTCGCGTACAAGGACTTCTTCGAGAAGGTCGCTGTTCCTGAAGTGAAGGAAAGGAACGAAATCTTCGGATTCTCCCGTGCGTCAGCCGAGAAGACTGGGGACATCATCGAGTTTTGGCTTGGCGTCTTGGATGTAGCAAACATGGCCAAAGGAGTTGTGAATGTCTTCAATGCCAGCGTTGATCCTGCCGAATTCCTCAACGGCTTGGAGAAAGCATTGGCTCAATTCACATCAACCTCCAGAACTACAAGCACCATTAATGACAAGAGACGGGGATCTTTCGACTGTACCCTGCAGACTGCAGAAGCTGAAAGGGTCATGAAGATCATCCACGCAATCCCCGGATACGAATCGCTGATCAACTTCTGCTGCCTCACAGAGTGGGAGAAAGATCAGGTATTCTCTCAGTATCGAAGAAAGCACCATATCACAGGGGATGATGCCAGCATGGACGCTGATGCAGACGCCAAGCCAGGTGACGAGTCGTCGACTCACCCTGGGGGAGGAAGCTGATGAGCCAGCAAACGACCCTACTGATGTGGTCAGGGACTCAGAGATTTCCGGAAAACAACAACTCTTGGATGCGTTGGGAAAACTCTTCACTGTCTCTGAAGATGTCAATGTGTGTTTGTACTGTGGTAGCACCAAGCATGGTCATCTTGAATGTGATCATGAGAAGAAGGATGAAGTCAGAAAGGTGCTAAAGGCCGTCCGAGCGTCGCTCGAGGCTGATAGTCCCACATCTGATGACGTCGAGATGGAACCGCCTGAGCACAAGAAGGACGGATCAGGTGCTACTGAAGGGTCAGGGCAAACAGATGAGCCTACAAAACCGAGGTTTAGTGAGTACCAGTGGTACGACAGCATCAGGACTATGTCCGAAGTTGGAGACCTCGATGAGTATGGCAGGTTTTGCATCGAAGGGCGTGATGTTACAAAGCTGGGACCCCAGAATGTCGTTGATCTCAACGAAGTGGTCCGGGATGCTATTGTCAGAGGAGGAGGCGACACTTGGTCAGTACAAGAGTTCCTCTCAAATTACTCCGACAACAACATCAGAAAACCCTTCTACAAACGAATCGAAGCGCCGCAAGATGGTTTCTTGAAAATCATCCCTACCACAGGAGCCCACTTCTTCAACTGTTTCTACTTTGGTGGTGTGGAGTATGCGGCAAACTATCGCTTCGAAACTGGCAATCGACTCGACAGCTACGAGGACAAGGTGAGCACCTCACTGAACAGGATCCTGCGACACAATGTGGGGAAGGCATCAGAATCACAGAGTCTGTTTTGTGATGACGCCGGCTGGGTGCCCATTGAGGAAGTACTCAAATGTGAGTCCATTTGGAGGCACGAGTACCAACGCTGGCCGCATGTCTTTCTAGCCCCCAAAGGAAGAGCAAACGACCAAAGTGCATGGAATGTCAATGAGGCGAACTATCGCATGACGTTGCTGTTCAAGATCATGTTCCACTGTGCCCGGTATGGACGTCGTGTTCGTGAACAAGTCTTGGCGTTCGGGATCAACAAGGACATTGATCGCAGCAGTCTGACATGCATTGACAACAAAGTCGCTGCGGACACGCACATCCCCGACGAGGGGCTACTGCTCTATCCTGTCGCTGTCCGTGCCCCTACGGGACACAAGGAGGGATCCTCCAGAGATGACGTCTTGTTGCTGTCATCACTGCTATCGCATCCGATCGCGCCCAACACCATCATGTCATTACCGGTGTGCTTCCACATCACCAAGAAGACCAACCTCCGAAGCATTTGGAGGCAAGGGTTAATTCCGGGAGGTCTTGGAGAAGGTCATCGTATGTTCACGTTCTTCAACCCGTATGTGCCATGGGATCATAGATCATGGACCATCACGAAGAGCGTTGATACGCGAAAGGGGGACTACATCTGCCTCTTCATCCCGACCGAGACCTTGATGGTGGAGTACGGCGGCCGATTGACCGATTCGGGACAGATCGTTTCACCAAAGATCATCCCGTTCTCAGCGATCAAAGGAGGATGGATTCAGGATCCTAAGGATCAAAACAATAAGACATGGCTCCGGTTGTTCGTCCCGTCGGGCGACGACCAGGTAGTCCGGTCAGGCACGGTCAAGTCAAGAACTGTCGCCACCAAGGAGTCCATTCTGAGGGTCGCAAGTCAATGCATCGACGCCGAAGAGCAACCGTATGACGAGATCACCATGGATGCAATGAACATCGTCAACCAATTCAGGAACAATCTCATTGAGCCTGGCGGACAAGAGCAATACCTGGCCCGCATCAAGCTGATTGACTACATCGTCGAACGCAAAAGGGTGCAAACTTCAGGTTGCCGTCATTGCCCTCATTGTCTCAATGAGACGCCGACGAAGTTGGCAGTGTGTCTGGTTTGCTGGACAGAACTTGAGAGCTGTGGAATTCGACCATATAGACTACCAGCTCCTGAAGACGATGAAGATGAAGCCACAAAGAAAGAGCTCGATGAAGAGGTTCGTCGACAAGAAGAATCGCTGTTCAAGGATACGGTCCACCAAGCACAAGAAAACGTATCTGAATCCAACGATTATGGCTTCAACCCTGACGAGGTCGACTACAACGAAGGCGATGACGAGGAAATGGATCAGGAGGAGGAAACTCAGCAGGAAGACGACGAGATCGTTGAAGAGGAAGACGACGATGAAATGGACGTCGAACCTGAGAATGAGCCTTCGTCCAAACTGCCAGCATGGACCAAGAATCTTGCGTGTGGAAGCAAGGGTTTGCCAGGAGACGGGCTTGTCAACAATGATGTCTCCGAGGCCGCGGCTCACTTGTACGACAATGCCGTGATGTCAAAGATCATCGCTATGTTCAGACTCTACTACAATCAGAGAGTCACTCTGACTCCAGAGGCATACTATGCGCTGATGACGGAGACTAAGCGAGTCCGACTGGACCTGGACGACTTCTGCCCTTACACAGGCGAAGATCAGGATGGCAACCTCAAGCGACCAACGGAGCTGGAATTGGACGAACTCTTTCAGGAGAAAGGGAAGAAGAACTCATGGTCAGAGGGAGAGAAGATGTACTCTGGACGACCGAGAAACATGATGATGCCTGTCGTCAAAACTCTAGAGGTTTATGAGAAGATGATGGAGTTTCTCGTATGTGCTGGGTACACTCCCGAGTCCTTAGGTTTCCTCATGCCAATGAATAAGATGCAGGGTGATGCAAAGGAGAAACAAGGAATGAGGGTGACCATCAGCAACTTTCTCCGACGATTGCTGAAGGGAACTTTTCCCGAATATGAATCATACACCTTCTTTCGTTCCGGGAGCCACGGCTTCCCCAACTGCATTGAACTCCCAGCTTTCTCGGTATATCTGAGTCTGAGGGAAAAGGAACAAAGGGTGGAACTACTCTTTGCTGCCCAACAATGCGGTATTCCACTACCTCGCAACTTCATCAGCAAGATGGCCTACGCCATTCAACTCGCCGAAGCCGAGGCGCAGAGGGGAAAGTCCGAGATGAAAATGAAGATGGCTCCAACCCTGGGCGACGAAGTGGTGAGTGAGGTATTCAAAGCAGTCGGGGGTAGCGTCGCCGCCAAGCATGCCACCGCAGACGCAAAAGCCAGATCGTCAACACAGCCTTCACAGAAACCTGAAGGTACTGGTTCAGCGTCATCCTCATCGGCCAGTGCACCAAAGGCCAAGGCTATGCCGAAGTCTTATGAACCATCCAAAGCACCACCTGCGAAACCTCCATCGCCGAAAGCTGCTCCGAAACGCGCGGCAGGTTGGGAGAAATCTCAGAATACACCCCAATGGAAGAAAGTCCGCCGCGAGGAGTAAGCCAACCACCTATGTCCATCTAAACGATCACTGAGCTATAAGATGTGTATCGTCTTTGTGAACAGATGATCTGGAAAAGACCAACTGAGCGGACTCTGAGCGAGGCATTAGGCTAATTCGTTTGAGCCCGTACCAATCAATATTCCCACTCTGCACGAAATTCTGCACAGTGCACGTGAATTCGTTAGTTAGCATTGTAAGTCTTTGGTGGCGAAGCGGTCCACTTCTCCCGTCGGGTGAGTGACCTGCTTAGCCGACGCAGAAAAGTAGATGTTAGCTAGCAATAATTCGCAATGTACAGCTTGAAGACGCGCCATTGCATCGACAGCCAGAGAGTAGGCGAACCCGGAACCATTATTCCCGTCGGGTATGTGGGAAAGGGGGAGCCGAATGGCAGGTTTTATGTAAATAGGCGTAATTCGAGTAGCAGAATCATTCTAATTCAAAGTTCCCTCTCTCGTGTCCGTGGTCCGAAGGACACCACGGACATGGGGGGTGTCAAAGGGAACTCAGTAGTACCGCATGTGTAACATACATGTAATGCGTACCTGGGATGCCTTTATGGCTCAAGATCCCGCGAGCAAAAGGGAAGCTGCGTGCGCCGCTGTTTCATGGAACTACCAGCCTAACTGCCAGCATAATAGGGACTCCGAAAGAAGTAATCCAGAACAAGGATCGATTTGTTCACATATTATTATATATATTATATATATATATTATATATATTGTATATATATATATGTATATATATATATATATCATATTGTATATACAACCTTTTACATCCTTTTACAGTTTTGGGATTTTAGCATCACCCATCCTTATGAATGACTTGGCTTGATCGACAAACAGTCGAGGACCCTGGCAGATCTGGGTCGACCGGGTTCTCAGCGCGTATCCGTTGCTCACTCTGCTGGGGGGCATAGCACTTCCTGCTGGCTTCAGTGTGGCAGGCCCGGCGGCCCACCCGGCCATGATGTGATGTAGGTATATATATATACTGTATACTTTTGCATAAGCACACACACACATATAGATATATAAAGGTATGAACACACACATGTATATATATATATATATACATATGGGTATGTATATTTTGCATATAGAGATATATGTATGTCCTGCTCCGAGTGATAAATGGGATTTTTGTCGCCGTATTTTAACTACTGGTAGTTAGGCCTAGTTAGGTAGGGACCATCACAGGTGCAACAGGTAGCCGAAAGTCATTCAAATGTTGGAAAGCTTGGGGATCCGAAAAAAACTTGGGAGGCAAAAAACAGAAATTTAGATGGGGGGATAGCCAGATGACCAGCACAACAAATGGAGGGTGACTGGAATGATGATGGTGATGGTGACAATGATGATCACTATCATTTTTTTCAGGTTATCATGTATCATCAATATTGTTATTATTGTTATTATTATTATTACGTATCCTTACTTGTTCTTGCTCATTTGTACTAGCTATTACTTTTCTTGTCGCTTCTTACTAAGTATTCTGCCTTATCACTTATTCTTGCCAATTATCACTTTTTATCCCTTATTATTCCTACTCATTGCTTCTTCTTGCTTATTAGTACGATTTGTTACTTCTTACGTATTCTATTTCTGGTAGTCATTACTGATTCTTATGACTGATTTTTCTTGTCGTTACTTGTCACACAAGTATCACCAGGCATACCGCGTTCTTTATGACCTCCAGGCCTCTACGCCTCGGAGTTTCAGGTGGATGTGAACCTGGATTTCAGCAGCTACCTTGCAGCAGAACTGGAGGAACAGCCACCTGCTTCAACGGTGCGGTGCCGAGGGTAAGCCGGTAGGCGCCAGCCAAGGGGGCCGTTGGCCAACGGGATGTTTTTTGAGGGACTATCCAGCTTCGCTTAGAGAACATGTTTTATAAGTGTGGACATTTAAAGTCTTGTACTGGCTTGTGCAAGCTTAGGCTTAGGCCATGAGATTTGTTCACGCTGTAATTTTTTCAAGGACAATTTCACCAGAAAACCCTACATTTGATAGTCATAACAACCATTGAATCATAAAGGGTTTCTCTTTTCATCATAACCAATGAATCATCATGAGCTGAGGTATCTCTACGACCTCACAACAGGCCTTGCCAGAGAGCAAGTGGATCGCAGTCAGAACTTGCAGGATCGCGGCCAAGAGAGGTGCGGATCCTGCGAATCCTCGATCTCCTGGAGTTGATGGTGAGTTCCCACCCATTTTTGGCTGAAGGGTTTGCTGGAATGTTACTGGTACCCTCTGGTAAACGTTTACATAACTATGGAAAATCACCATTTATAGTGAAACTTCCCATGAAAAATGGTGATTTTCCATAGTTATGTTAGTTTACCAGAGGGTAAATGCGTGGTAAACAATTAAAGGACCGGATAACCCCACAAGACAACTTCTTTGAATAAAAAGCACCAAGATGTTGTAGCGGGGACGGGGAAGGAAGGAAAGACAAAGGAGGTGGTGGAGGACCGAGAAGTAAAACAAAGTTGTGTGTGACAAAGTTGTATGTGAAAGCTGGTGTGTGACTAAGAAAGATAGTGTGTGTGACAAAGTGGTGTGTGCAAGATGGTGTGTGCGAAAGTTGTGTGTGAAAGAGGGCGTGTGACAAAGTTGTGTGGGAAAGATGGTGTGGGACAAAGTGGTGTGTGAAAGATGGTTTGGCGAAAGATGGTGTGTGACAAAGTTGTGTTAAAGATGGTGTGGTGAAAGATGGTGTGCGACAAAGTTGTGTGTGAAAGATGGTGTGTGAAAGATGGTGTGTGACAATGTGATGTGTGAAAGATGGTGTATGAAAGGTGGGGTGTGACAAAGAGGTGTGTGAAAGATGGTGTGTGACAAAGTTGGTGTGTGAAAGATGGTGTGTGACAAAGTTGTGTGTGAAAGATGGCATGTGACAAAGTCGGTGTGTGAGAGATGGTGTGTGAAAGATGGTCTGTGACGGTGTGTGAGAGATGATCTGTCCCACGCCTGCCACGCAAAACGACGGTAGATGTGAGTTTGTGCCACGCCTGCCACGTGAAACGAAGGTGGATGTCAGGTTGTGCCACGCCTGCCACGCAAAGTGGCGCGGCGCCCCAGGCGCCAAATCCCGGCCCAAGGGCGCCACCCAGTACCATAAGTGCCACGCCTGCCACGCAAAACGACGGTGGATGTGAGTTTGTGCCACGCCTGCCACGTGAAACGAAGGTGGATGTCAGGTTGTGCCACGCCTGCCACGCAAAGTGCCGCGGCGTCACAGGCGCCAAATCCCGGCCCAAGGGCGCCACCCAGTACCATCTGTGCCACGCCTGCCACGCAAAACGACGGTAGATGTGACTTTGTGCCACGCCTGCCACGTGAAACGAAGGTGGATGTCAGGTTGTGCCACGCCTGCCACGCAAAGTGGCGCGGCGTCACAGGCGCCAAATCCCGGCCCAAGGGCGCCACCCAGTACCATAAGTGCCACGCCTGCCACGCAAAACGACGGTGGATGTGAGTTTGTGCCACGCCTGCCACGCAAAACGACAGTAGGTGTGAGTTTGTGCCACGCCTGCCACGCAAAGTGCCGCGGCGTCACGGGCGCCCAAGCCCGTCCAAGCGCGCCACCCAGTGCCATCTGTCCCACGCCTGCCACGCAAAACGACAGTAGATGTGAGTTTGTGCCACGCCTGCCACGTGAAACGAAGGTGGATGTCAGCAAGTGCCACGCCTGCCACGCAAAGTGCCGCGGCGTCACGGGCGCCCAAGCCCGTCCAAGCGCGCCACCCAGTGCCATCTGTCCCACGCCTGCCACGCAAAACGACAGTAGATGTGAGTTTGTGCCACGCCTGCCACGTGAAACGAAGGTGGATGTCAGGTTGTGCCACGCCTGCCACGCAAAGTGCCGCGGCGTCACGGCGCCAAATCCCGGCCCAAGGGCGCCACCCAGTACCATAAGTGCCACGCCTGACACGCAAAACGACGGTAGATGTGAGATTGTGCCACGCCTGCCACGTGAAACGAAGGTGGATGTGAGGTTGTGCCACGCCTGCCACCCAAAGTGGCGCGGCGCCCCGGCGCCAAATCCCGGCCCAAGGGCGCCACCCAGTACCATAAGTGCCACGCCTGCCACGTGAAACGAAGGTGGATGTCAGGTTGTGCCACGCCTGCCACGTGAACGACGGTGGATGTCAGGTTGTGCCGCCTGCACGCAATAGTGCCGACGGCGTCACAGGCGCCAAATTTCCGGACCAGGGCGCCACCCAGACAAAGTGCCACGCCTGACACGCAAAACGACGGTGGATGTGACTTGTGTGGCCACGCCTGCCACGTGAAACGAAGGTGGATGTCAGGTTGTGCCACGCCTGCCACGCAAAGTGCCGCGGCGTCACAGGCGCCAAATCCCGGCCCAAGGGCGCCACCCAGTACCATAAGTGCCACGCCTGCCACGCAAAACGACGGTGGATGTGACTTTGTGCCACGCCTGCCACGCAAAACGACGGTGGATGTGAGTTTGTGCCACGCCTGCCACGTGAAACGAAGGTGGATGTCAGGTTGTGCCATGTGTTAAGTTTCTGTATGTCAAGTTGTGTTAAGTTTGTGTGTGTGTGTGTGAAGTTATGTGTGTATGTGTCAAGTTGTGTTAAGTTTTGTGTGTGTGTGAAGTTATGTGTGTGTGTGTGTATGTGAAGTTATTGTATGTTATTAAGGAAGTTATTGTATGTTAAGTGTGTGTATGTGTTAAGTTTCTGTATGTCAAGTTGTGTTAAGTTTGTGTGTGTGTGTGAAGTTATGTGTGTATGTGTCAAGTTGTGTTAAGTTTGTGTGTGTGTGAAGTTATGTGTGTGTGTGAAGTTATGTGTGTGTGTGTTATGTATGTTATGTTAAGTTTGTGTGTGTGAAGTTTGTGTGTAGTGTGTGTGGAGGAGGGTTAAGTTTGTGTGTGTGTGTGTGTGAAGTTATGTGTGTGTGTCAAGTTGTGTTAAGTTTGTGTGTGTGTGTGAAGTTATGTGTGTGTGTGTTATGTATGTTATGTTAAGTTTGTGTGTGTGAAGTTATTGTCTGTGAAGTTTGTGTATGTGAAGTTTGTGTGTAGTGAAGGAGGAGGGCGGGAGGAGGAGGAGGAGGAGGAGAAGGAGGAGCCCGGGATACAGAATCAAAAACAAGAACCCCACACAAAGATGTGGGGAAAAATCAACGAGCAAGGACTGATGGACTGATGGTGAATGCAGTTTCAGAAAATTCCTGCTGAATGAAATGCTGCCTGTTGGTTCCTTGTCCAAATCCCCATTGTTGATTGGTTCTATTTAGATATATAATTACGCGCGGGAGGAAGAGCTGTTGCAGCTCAAACTTAAGAAGGCCAAGGCTAAGAGTCTTGGTTGGAAGGGTGAATGCCTGTGGTTTCGCTCAATGTGGCTCAGTGGCACAAAGGAAACAGTGACAGTGACAGGTTTAGTTGGGAAGATGCTATAGGAAGTTAAAACATGTTTTTTTGACCCTACCTTCTTTGCTTTTATTTGAGCTCTTTTTAGGGTACAATTGCCCACACGGAGATTGGAATTGCCCAAATGAAACCTAGAATTGCCCAAATGGAGCCTAGACAAATGGTGTCTAGATTTGCTCAACTGGAGCCTAGAGGGGACCAAAAGCAGCGCCTAAAACCGCAAAAAGTAGCCTGGAATTACCCACATGAATCCAAACCGTGGATCAACAACTGAAGCAGCAGCTGCTAGGCAAGACCTTTTTCGTCTCGCCCTTGAGCCAACTTTCGTTGGCTTGAGCCATTTTGCAATGGCAGTCACGTGTCATCCTTGTGCAGTGGCCATGCTATGGTTCATGCATGCCACCACATGTCAACTTCTAAGTTTTTAAAATTCCACAGGGACTGGTGAAGTGCTTGGTGAATCGCACTCCCCCCCGCAGCCACCTGCGGAAACTCACAAAAGCTTAGCCAAAATGGCTATCGTAGCCCGGCTCTCAGCAGCGCTTTTTCAGGTCTTCATTGTTTTAAGGCTCCTCCTCATTCACATTGGCATCTTCCGACTCAGGGTCAGTCAACAAAGACCACTCTTCGACCTGGGAGACGAAGGAGTCAGGGACCCTTTGGCTAGAGTCGGAGCTCAAGGTGTTGGTGACGTCCCATTCCACGGTCAAAGGGACGTAGGACTTCGGCAGCGAACCCAAGTCTGAACCCGTAGAGGAGGGCATAGCAGCGACCCCACGTTGGATCACACCACCACGGCTATATCCTACCGTGGGAGCTCCAGAGGTCTTGTTGTGTTGGCTGGTCGGCTCCAAGAGGGGAACCAGCCGCAGCTCAGAGGAACCACCACTTGACACGGTTCCGCTCTGACTGCTGGCCAAACATCCATCCAGGTACAAGCGGCCAACCATCAAACCAGGAGCTTGTTGTGGTCGATGACGTCGTGGCGTCTCCATTTCATAGTGCTGTCCCACGTGCACGTCTAGGTCATCATCTTTGGGCACCTCAGTCTGGGGCCATGGAGGGTCTTCTGCAGTCGCAGCCGGCTCCAGCTGGATGCTCAGGTTCATCTTTTCCATGACTTCCCGCCTCATTGTCAGGAAGGTGTAGCCGATCCATCGTGCCTCGGCTCTGACGACCGGATCGTCCCATCGGTCAGCAACCAAGAACCCCACTCCATCAGCAGGATTCACAAAAAAGGCTTTTGTGACCCTTTCACCAGTCAGGAACTGGGCTTCAATTGGTGCCGAACGGTGCAGTGGATGAAACCTCTGTTTCCTCGGTGACTTGTGTACTTTGACCAAGAAGATTTCTTCCCCGCACTTCGCAACGGACCAAGAGTCCTTTTTTCCTGTGGTGTTCGGCTGGAGGTACCGACTATCCAGCCAGGGTCCATGCCTTGGCATACCGTCCAGCATGGTTCCACCAGCAGCCTTCTGAGCCATTTCTGCATCTCGACGGGCTGGAGGAAACTTCGGCAAAGCGCCGATGTAGGGTCCCCTTATTTCAGAGGAGCTTGAAGGTGCACCCATCGCCGCAGCGCATTGCAGCATCATCGGCGGCGCTTTGCGGCGCACAGCTGCAGGCTTAGGAGCAGCCTTTGGAGCAGCAAAGCCCGGCTCTTGCGGCGGCAGCGGCGGCGCAGGTTTGGACATCTTAGGGGCCATGGCAGCTAAACGCACGGCCGGAACTTTTGGGCAGCCCGTAGGG